ACAAAAAAATTGACGGTGGAACGTGAGTTATGTGAAATTAATATTTCGGTCTAGAAAGCCGTTGGAATTCTCAAGCTAATAAAAAAAAAAAATTATTTACCAATCTTATTACGTACGACACAAGACAGCAGTTCTGAGTTCTGACAACGTGACGTTAAAATATATTTTCAAGTTTAATAAAAGTACTTACATGTGGGACCCGTTAAACTCATTTTTACCGTAAACTTGAAAATATATTTAAGAGAACACCCGAGTTTATATTGTAATGTAACTAAGTATATGTTATGAAGAATAGTAAGGGTTTAGGAGATATTTTGTCTGTAGATTTAAACATTAAGGTATTTCTTTTTTCTTGCGTAAATTAAAAATATATTAAAAGCAAAAAAAATATAATAACGAAATGTTTTTAAATGATTTTTTAACATTTAAATTAGTAAGAAAATAGATAGTAAAAAACCATAAAATTGAAGAGTAAGAAGACGGTAAAATTTTGGAAAATGAAAGAGAGAGTACGGATGACATTCGATCATAAGAGATGCTCTTTGATGTAAGAAAATATTTTTAAAGAAATTTAGAGTAAGAGAATGAATGAAAATTTAGTATTTTTAAAAAGATGAAATATGACCGAAATTAAATTTATTGAAGTAAAATCGAACTCTGAATCGGACTTAACCATCTAAACTGAAAGAATCCACCACCCAAACATTTGTAAACATTAGTTTCTGGTCTATTTTCTATTCGAACCCAGTTACAATTATTTTAAAATTGACCCACATCAATCAATGCACAAACTTATATTTATAGAAACTCGCAACATTCTAGAATTTAGAGAAGAGAAAAACTCAAAAAAGTAAGTAAAGCACTAAAGAAAGGCTATATTAAAAAAAAATAGGCGAATAATTAAAGAGAAAAAGAGTTTTCAAAATAGAAAAGAGAGAGGCTACAGAAACAGAAGAAGAGTGGACCACTCAAATCAGAAGATGCAAGGCAATAATTGAACGCAGGAAAAGGGCGTGGTTCGTACGCCTTACCCAAGCTACGTACTGACTTCTTCTCAAACACTTCTTGTATATTCCTATACATACACCCAATTTATATAGCTGTATACGTATATAACTTTCATACTGTAATCTTAACATGTTTACCCCAAAACAAAAAAAAACTTTCATACTGTACAAACGCAATTCCATACTATTGAAGTTGTATGGATTATGGTCCCTACAGAAACCAAGTGCTCATCACCTTTATGGGTTTCCTCAAAAACAATAGATACTTTGAATAGTTGGATGCAGCATTTTAATAGGTACCGTATGGTCATTATAGGTATTAATTGGTGTAGTTAGTGTATGGTCGGTTTAGATGTTGCAACTAATCAACTATTGAATGATAAATTTATATGGTTATAGATATATCAGTAAAGATATGTAATTTATATAATTTGTGTTACTATTCAAGATTCAAATCCAAATAATACATGTTCTCGAAACAAAAATGATACTAATATATACTATATATCAATTGGTTGAAAGTTTAAATTTTAAATGAAGATATCTGTTTAACTCTTTTGGCAATGATATTCTTGATAACTCTTTTGGCAATGATTAAAGCACTAGAAATATTTAAATGGTATACTATCATTCCTTTAGAACTAAAATACAAATAATATTTTGTACAAAAATAGTTTTTGTTTGATCAATCCTACTTCGAGGCGGTTTTATGCAACCGTATAATAAATCCACTTGAAAGTTTCAACAAATTTTTATGTGTATTCGTTGGGTTTTGTCTTGGTTTTGTGCATTCGTTGAATTGGTCATCAAAAGTCCCATGGTTTTTGCAAATGATGATAAGAAAAAAATGTAGTAAGTGTAATTTGGTGCGTTCGAAAACGTATAGAATACACTGTCCTTCAACATTCATAGACTAAAATTATTTTTAAAAGTCTATATTTTGGTAGGATATTTACATTTATTGAATTGCATCTGTCAATAACTTCAGACGTGTACTGTTCAATGTAAATAGTATAAACTTTTATCTGGACATGCACGGAAGTGTTTCTCCTTGTTCGCATAATCTTCACATTTTATTTTATTTTTATTTCAAATACTGAAAATAATTTAATACACGTTTATTATACCACGTCACACTAGAAGAACATTTACTACAGGCTGTCCAAAAACCTCGCCAAACCAATTAAATAAATCCACGTGGCATACGTTGACACGGATACTATTCTCATACTACAGCTGTTTCCCGTTCAAAAAATCCAAGTATAAATAAGCCTTCACTGGTTTTCACAAAACCTCAAATTAAAAATTTAAAAACAAAAACCTCCTAAAATGGCTTATATTTACCGTTTCGCCATTCTTCTCGTTCTCCTCTCCGCCACCGTCGGCTTCTCCTCCGCCGCGTTGGCCGAGCAGAAATCTCCGGTGACCTTGAAAGGAAACATCACTCTCAACCTCATATGGTACGGAAAATTCACCCCAATCCAACGATCCATCATCGTCGATTTCCTCCGATCCGTTAATTCCGTCACCGCCGTTAAAAGTCCATCCGTCGCGTCGTGGTGGAAGACGACGGAGAAGTACAAAACCGGCGCGTCGACCATCGTCGTCGGTAAACAACTCCTCCTCGAGAATTACCCTATCGGGAAATCCTTGAAAAGTCCTTACCTTCGTGCTCTCTCGAACAAACTTAACGGCGACGGTGCTCGTTCGATAACGGTCGTTTTAACGGCGAAAGACGTCGCCGTTGAAGGGTTCTGTATGAATCGGTGCGGGACTCACGGAGCTAAGTCACGTTCCGTTAACGGTGGAGCTTACGTTTGGGTCGGAAACTCTGAAACGTTTTGTCCTGGTTACTGCGCGTGGCCGTTTCATCAGCCGATTTACGGACCTCAGTCGCCGCCGTTAGTTGCGCCTAACGGCGACGTTGGAGTTGACGGAATGATTATAAACCTCGCGACTCTTCTGGTTAACACCGTCACGAATCCGTCGCAAGAAGTTGTCTCGGCTTGTACCGGTGTATTCGGGTCGGGTGCTTACCCGGGTTATGCGGGTCGGGTTCTCGTGGACAAGAGTAGTGGAGCGAGTTATAACGCTTTGGGTCTCGCCGGAAGGAAATATCTTTTACCGGCGATGTGGGACCCGCAGATGTCGAAGTGTAAGACTTTGGTTTGAGTTTAGACGGTCAGGAGCGTGACACGTGGCAAGTAACGAAGAAAGCTGTAGATATATCTATCGCGCGTCTGGTTCGGGGTAAAGGAAAGGAATGTGTTGCTTTTGTCGTTTTGCATGACGTGTAAATTCGATCGTGGAAATATGTGAAGATTAGATTCATAATATCTATTTTTATGCTGATAATAAAAAACGAAATTGTAGTTTCCCGAAAATCGTAAAATCTTGTTTTAAGTAAAGGAATCAAACTTTTTTTATAAGCGGGAAATGGATTAAGAAAATTATTATGCTAAACAAAAAAGAAGGAGAAGAGAATGTATCAAAAATAGTTTAAAGGAAGATGGAGAATAAAGGAGCAAGGACTTGGTGATGTTGGGGCTTGGGGGGGATAAAAGAGAACATATCACTTTTTATAAAGCTAATAGGTATTGACGTATTGGTTAGTAAATCATGGGGTATTTATTTGTGGGATGGGAATAATCATTTTGTTTTTATTATCCAGTTTCCTACCAATCTAAGCTTTTTGGCTATGTTGGATTAAATTATCCCATTAATTAGTAATAAATATGGTAAGTGGGTTGGGTGTTCAGTGCTTTGAGCAGGCTTATTGAAATCGAAAGTATCTGCAGTTGTACAACGATTGTATACATACTAAAGAATTTCCAAGGGACATCAACGAGTTCTATTTGTAATCCTTTTATTTCATTGTTATGTGGCAGTGTAGAATAAGTCTCACTTGAGCTCTTTACGACAACCACACTAACTGACCTACTCACAAATGTCTTGTATCGTCCCAATACTTGCCAATGCACGTCATGAACCTTTTTTCCTTGATTTATTCCGTTGCCGTATCTTGCATATATAAGATCGAGATATCTCTAGTATTCGTAATCCAGGATTTCGTGATTTTTATACGCTTAAACGTAACAGATCAGCATAACTGGGTTAAAATCATTTAC